CGAAAAAAGTACAAATTCTCTATGGTTCGAGTTTAAAAATAGCCCATAACACTTCAAAAACATTTTACCACAAGGATTAAATAACGCCAACAACATACAAACGAAACTTATTAAATTACTAAGATGGTTGAAGGATTTGAAGTCATTAAAGAAGATACTCATTTATAGTTTAATTGTGAATTTTTCATTTTTAAATATTTACCACTTGTAAACAAATTAATAAATGTACACAAGGGATAACAACTTGTCAATAAAAGCAAGGTACTTATGTACATAAATGTCAACAAGGGCAACAAAAAGCAACAACGATTGCAATCAGAACGCACAATTATTGAGGACATGTACATATGTATGTACACTTGAATGCATCAAATCGAAGTGAATTTCTTGAAGCAGAAAGCGGTAAACATCTACGCCCGCAATCTGAACAATTCTAATGACAACAACAACAATAACAACAATTTGAACATCAAAAGGACACAGCATATAAATAAGTGCCTATGAATGTACTATGTATGTACATTAGTGCGGGTCGAAATTTTTACTTTCCTATAATACTTTTTTAATAGTGAAAAGTTATTTGATGAGGTCAAGTACAAGCCTGTAAAATAGTATTCTTTTTAGTTTTAATGGCAAGAGTCCGAGCAGCATTCCCCAAGTATATCAAAGCACACTGTTGTAATATTTGCGACTTATCGCATACCTATATTTTTCGCCAGCGTTGGAAGAGTTTGCTTATGCAACCGAATATGGGAGCTTCGCAGTTACACAAGTAAGGAAATCATTGTTCCCAATAAGCATTTCTGTTAAATCTCAGTTTGAGATGCACTTGAAAATCAGTCCTTTTCTCAAATCTCAAAAAATCTCAAATAACCGTCAATAGCGTTCTCAAACTAAAAAACACTTTTTAGTATTGAAAAAAAACGATAAAATTTACCTTTAACATTCTATCTTATATAAATAGATTTTTAAGTATAATTAAAGCGTTTTTTCTCTATTGAAAATACATATATAAATTCTTTAAAAAATTAATTTAATGCAAAATATAAACTTTTTTCTCGGATTTTGGGATTTATTGCAATTTTTTCTCCGCAAAAAGATTATAAAATTATTTTATTTAGAATTATGGCATTTCAATAGAGCCTAAACCCTTTTATAATACTTAATAATCGTTTTATATAACATAAATAAATTTTATTTTTAAAATAAAAATATTATTTCATTTTAAGCAGGCAAATGTCGGTCACTAGAAGCAGCAGTTTAATGGCCGATCAAAATAACATTAAAAAAAATGTTCAGGAAAATAAATAAATTAAATGCTCGAACGAGGAGCCATTTTCCGACAGACAAATTGCGAATGACAGCTACCGCGTGGTCGAGGAGAATTTTTCGTCTGATGTAGAATGTTTAGTTTCAAATGATAAATCAAATGAAAATCAAAATGAGAAATAATCAATTAAGTAGGAAGGAAAGATTAATTGATTTTACTTACTTTCAATTTGCCCTATTAATTTTTTATGACTTTATGATAGGAAATAAGTTCCGGATTTGATCTACACAAGTCGTTGTAAAAATATAAAAAAAAAATTATATTCCCACTCTTATTTTTAACTTTTCAAGCTCATTCCGCTGACCGTTCTTTTTTTTTTATCACACATTTTGTGTTTTCCGACCCGCCCTATTGTACATTCGTACAAATTACTGAGAGGACAACAACAATTGCTACTTGAATCCCAGCTATTTCAATAAAGGAGTAGCCAAGGCAAATATGCATATGTGCACGAACAAACAAGATGTGCTTCTTCATGGAATTACAATTGTCGGAAAATCTCTTTTGACCAAGAAAATCCAGGTATGAACATAGGTATTTGGATGAGAGGAGATGTATGTAATACCATAATATGTGCGTACAAACCAACAACATAAAGCACACAAATATGCAAAGTGCAAATTAGGCAAAGGATATTTGCCGAAACGGCATAAAAAAAAATTGTAAGTCTTATATGTACATATATATGGCGACACAAGCAAAACAAGGCCCTTGAACTAAATCAGAAGCAATAACTATTTTCCCTCAACCTGCTTTTGCTAGTGGTATGGCAACGAGAGCAAACACAAAAATGATCGAGCAGGTAAAAAAAAAAGTCTAATTAATTTTTAGCCAATTTTAATGAGAAGAAAACGAGTTCTGTTATTTTGTTTAATCTGGTTTTAGTAACAAATGAATTGGTTTTAAGAAGCGTCCCAAAATAATTTTTTTAGGGCCACTAGAAAGATAATGGTGTGATACCCCATCTGATGGATATTTATTCCAAAAGCAGGGAGTCGAGACCACTTCTCCCTAAAGGATTTTAGACCAAGAAATCTCCCATGATCTTTTTAAAGGCCTTTAGTAAAGGCAGATCAGTCTACAGCGCTCTCTAAAAAATGGTCGGTACTGTTGAAAGGTCCTTGAAATGCAGGAAATATACCCTAGCCAGCTTGTTAGATGTTGAGAGCTTTTTCAAAAACGTCGAAACGAAAGCATTTAGTAGGGCCCTGGAGAGGCACGGCATCCAGCAGGATATAGTGGTGTGGATCGACTCGATGCTGAAAAGCAAGTGTGTTTGGGTTCTAGCGGCTACTCCACCCTGCCTAAATCGGTTTGTCCCTAAATCTTTGTCGTCAAGCTCAACTAGCAGAAGACCCAGCAACTTCCATTGGGTTTGTCTATAGGAGCTGAGGTGTTAGCTGAATGGAGTTTAGGGTTCATGCGAAGAGATGTCTAGCCACATGCCGGGCACTCGTTGGGCACATCTGCATCTATGGCATGTCGGTATGCTGTCGGGTCGAGAGGCTGGTTTATGCACCTCTGGACTTCGTCCCTCAGTTCGTATAGATGCCTCCTGACGCGCAAGCAGGTGTCTGTTCGGGTGCCCATGCCGGTGACACCCTACTACGAATTGATTGCAGAGCATTATGTTATGCTCCCTGACGGGGAGCATTTGGGCCTCGTCATGTAGATGGTGTGGTAGCGACATCAGAAGGCATCCGGTGGCTGTCCGGAGTGCCGTGTTTTGGCAGGGCTGTAGCTTCGTCCACTGCATTATACTGATCAGCAGGATTTTTGGGTTATTACCCATTAGAATTTGTACGCCAGCGACGTGAGTACCCAGCTGTTATCTGAGCTCGTCAATGTGGTAAAAAAAATTGTAAAGCAATCAATGCAGCTGTAGGCACCGACTCCGTGCTTAGAAGGTCAACAAAAGTAACTATGCAGAGAGGAGTCTTATCACACCTTGACTGGACTTTGGTGCTAAATGAACTGTTAGAAACCTTTAATGGTAGGAGAAGGCTACTAATTTCCGCACTGGGGAGTGTTTCCAGCTGGGCCAAACAAAATGGGCTAGGAGTCAACTCATCTAAAACCAAGCTTGTTTTGTTCGCGGTTCTCAATAATTCACAAATGTTCAGGAATTTCTCCTGCCAATGGTTAAAAGCAATGGATAAAAGCAGCGATGAGAGGATACTTAGAAGAGTACAGAAACTCGCAACTTGAATGTGATCTTTTGCACGAAACCGCTCCAAGTATTCATACCGGTCGCAGCCGGAAAAAGGATCCTTGGACTAAGGGAAAAGAAAATTGTGGAAGCAGACCAACTACCGTGAACGCAGCGGTCTTGAAGTTAATTATTAGTGGACGACGTAACGGAATCAAAGGCGACTTTTGTGTCAAGGCTGATTACCTCACGTCATCCTGGGATTTTAAGGAAAATTGGTTCGAAAATTCAAGTTATCGAAGCGGATAACTCCCAACCACCACCGATTTCTATTTTCTAAGAAGTGTTGAAGAACACATGACAGCCGTATTTAAGGGCCTGTGAGATTTCAAGATCCTTATAGCCGAGACTGAATAAGAGTCGTAACGAGAAATTATTGACCGAACTGGTGGCCAGTTCCATCGTCAGAACTCAGAGCGTTAAGCAGTCGCCTCTTTAATAAAGCAAAAACGAGTGGATTTATCTACTTTCATATTGGGAACTGAAGGTGTAAGATTAAATTGCGAGATAAAAAGTCTAAACAAACTGCTTGAGGAAATTCTGTAAAAGCGTGGAAGGCTGCCTGAGACCAGATTAGCAACTGGGCGATGAGTGGTGCGAAATTGTTTAAGCTTTACTTCGATGTGCATTTAATAATAAACCCCGAACCACATATGTGGGGTCCGTATACTTTTATTCCCAAAACGTGAATAGCCTCTAATATTTCTCCGAAGGATCTTCGACCAAACAGCCTCTCTCCCTCATTTTGAAGACTATAAAGACTGGTGGTTCTGTATGTAGGAAAGAGAATTCCTTGTGAGCGGGTGAGCCTCTCGCAAAACGCTTACTTGAAGGTAGAGTTGTTTATCAGTAAAGACTTAGGGCCGGTTGTTCAATGTCTGGTTATCACTACCACTACACTATCGACGATTTCGACATCATGCATCTAACATGTGATCGATAAAGCAGTAGTTGTGCTTAACCGGAGCTTCTACCTCCGATTTGTGCTAATCAGACATTGAACAACCGGCCCTAAGTGTTTGCCTGGCCAAAGCTCTGGGCTCTCTAAAACAAAGTCTAGTAGTTGAGCGTGACTGGAAACCAAATATTGAGCAGCGCTTTGAAAGGCCATCAGCTGCTCTACCGGGCTCTAAAAGCATCATTGAGAAGGTGTGGAAGTGGATCAGTGCATATCGATGCTGGATCTGAGTGGATTCTTCTCAATATAGGGCACGCTCAAAGTTATCTACCTTGACAGGGAGGGTATAGGATTTCCTCTGGCAGCTTACGGCTACAGTAAGTGCTAGGCCAAATCCCTTACTAAGCTTAACACACTAATTATCCTCTTTCATCTAAACGTACCAAAATTGGTAGTTAAATTTTAAGCAAAATCGAGTGCGAAATTTCTAAACCAACCATTGTGAAATCCACTCGGCGTCGCATTTCCGACGTAATACTCAATGTATGTATGTATGTACTTACCACATTTACAAAATCCTGAAAGGTGACATATCCCGGTCCAGTTGGCAATCGCGCCTTTTTCGTGCGTTCGTGTAGCAATTCTCGTTTATTCATAGGCACTTGTGATAAGAATTCGGGAGATTTTAACGCCTTTACAAAGTCGTCGACGGGTATCTCACCAAAACCCTCGGGATCGAACTGTTTGGATGGCAAAGTATTAAGTAAATTAACATAAGTTTATATGTACACATGTATCTGCAATACAAGTTAGCTTAGTTACTTAGTTAGTTTTGCTATCAAAGGGATAATTTCTTAAACATATTCTTAAATATAAAAATAGAAATCATATTTCTTAAAAAAATAACAGAATACCCAAATAAGTAGTATGTTGGCTAAGTATGTGCGTTAGAATAAGTTTCATTAAAGTTTACTAAAAAGGGCAGTTCAGCAATCGGCATAAAGCTAACCAAAGATACCACAAAATCATCTAAATTAAAGTATTCAATTAAATACATTCAACTTCAGTAGAATCAAATAAAATAAAATCACCTGAAAAAAATAAAGTAAAATAAAAAATTAAATAAAGTAGAATAAAACCAACAGAAATAAAACAAGATAAAATCACATATAATAATATAGAAGTTTACAAACTAAAAAATAACTAAAATGAAAAAAATCAACATAAATAAAATAAAATAAAATCATCTAAAAAGATCTAAATATTAAGTAAAATAAAAAAACAATTAAGTAAACATAAAATACGCTCAAATTAAATGAAATACACAATCTCAAAAAAAAATGAAATAAAAATAAACTTCAAAATTCCCTTCGGCTTCGAACCCACAACCTCTACATCCGTAGGGCAACGCGCTAACCACTATGCTGTGAAAGCCAAGCGCCATCGCTTGCCAAGTGTTGCATCGACAGTATTGATATCAATTTAACGCCATGTACAAATGCATATACGAAGATACACACATACATACATGCGCTCATTTGAAGTACACTCTAAAAAAACACTTGAAAACGTTTGAAAAAAAAACTAGAAGTTAGAATTTAACTATTAATTAGAGTATTAGTGCTTAGTTAATCCTATCAATTGGCAAAACAAACTTCTATAATGAAACCCAGGCATAATTAATTAGTAAAAAATAATGTATCGAAAAATATTTGTAACTTTTAAAGCATTTATGATAAGACTATATTTTCCATTATAACAACTTCTGCATATATTAAATAAATGAAAATCCACTTACCATATCAAACAGCAATTTCCATTTCTGCAACGAAAAAAAACCATAATATGTCAGTACAACAGTACTATGCATGTAAATATGTACATAAAGAGATTTTACAGGCAACTCTTAATTGAAAGCAACAATCGTCTGGTGTGAATGGCATTTCAGCTAATCGCTTCCAATAAAGTTTTGATTCAACTAATCGCTTTTAAAATTGCCTATAAAATCGCCTCATGTGAAAACCGTTTAAAAGCCATCTACATCACGCAGCAATTCCCTGCGCAGCTCCGCCTCATCAAAGTCCGAATTAAGCGAAGTGTGTTCTGTTTCATAGCCAGCATCATTTGTACATTGCTATATGAGAAAAATCACGAAGAAAATATAAACAAAAAATACATTGCAAAGTTTGCATTAACCACTCAAAAGCATTCGAAATACTCACATAACGTACTTGTGTGTGTGTATGTGATATGGAAGCAATTGATACCAGTGAGCCTGCTATCGTTGATATGTGTTCGATTTCAGCCAAAGTCTCCTGTTGACTACTGCCAGCATTGTTGGTGCTTTGTATATCGACGCCGCGCGAACTGCAACGATCGAAACCGCTCCACATGCCGCTACTACGCTACACTTTGGCTCGAAAGAAAATGCAATCGTAGATAACGCCGCTGCTTCTTAACCACACATTTACAATAAATCAACGAACAGCATAAAATGCTATCTAAAGTCCAAAAGCTCGACGGTTCTTTTATGCAACATAAGATTTATTTATTTATTAGCACTTCATTTCATCTTAGAAAAAAACTAGTTTTTTTATTTGCTCAAACTTACACACTTCTTGTTTGTCATAATATTTTTTCACAGTGTATAAACATCTCATGCTCAATGTTATGCCTAAAAATATGCAACGAATTGTGTGGGGGTGAATGAGGCAGCGAGGAAAATACGAAAATAGCACTAACGGCAGCTGAGGCGAGCGTGGCGTACCCTGTAGCGTGTTAGCGCGCCACATGCGAACGCGCAGGTTCGAGGCGCACTCAGCAGGGTAAAAATAGATTTCACTAAAAAATTAGCCTGTAGCTTTTATTAATTTAGTTTGCAATTTTTAATTTCCGCCCTCGAATGTTGAAATTTCACGTTGAAGTTTTCTCTTCATAGCTACTTCGTGAACATTTGTGGGGGGCAAGAGTAAAACAAGCCCGTTTAATCATAGGCTACTTCCGGCCATCAATGCCAGAGTCTATTTCATGCTCGGGAAATAAAATTTTATTGCTTCCGCTAATTTAACAGTTATTGAGGACGATGGCTAGTGCTTACATATTTAGTTATTCTTATACATACATACATATGTGTGTGTATGTAACACACCCCCAAAGCACAGAAAATTTGCAAAAAGTTTTCCTTTCCTAAAGAAAATGTTAGATATGAATTACGTCGATATTTGGTAGAAATTATTATTAGCTTGAATTTGATAGCAAACAAATTACATTACCCTGTCTATAGGCCATGGCGCCAATTACTGTGCTTTCATATTTCACCCTCTTGCTGTTTATCCAGTTTGCCCTTTAGTGATGAAAGCAATTTGTGAAATGACAACAAAAGTTTTTAAATGTGCCAACGGCACGAAAACACGTTTTTCTAAGAAAGTTGACTGACATATCCGCCGTTTTTAGTGCCAAAGGCTATCGATCTTTAGAACGGTATGTTTATACAAATAAATGCATATGGATGTACATATGTATGTATATGCACATTAGACCATACCACCTTACTAGAAATTTTTTTTACATATTTCCGGAATACATATTTCCGATTTCTCAGGGAGACAATTTTTTTGCTCGAAAGTGCATTGATATGAAATGCCCATTCTACCAGTTACCCACCAGATCATTTCAATTTCTACTCCACGAATTAAACAAATAGAAGTAAAATTAAGTAATTTTTTTTTAATTTTTCTTAGCAAAAGTTTAATGAATTTTGGCAAGCTTTAATATGTTGACACTAGGGTGATACGTTAGAACGATAAAGACTGGGATATGGTGTGTAAGTATTAGAACGGGGTGCTTCAGGTCAATAAACTTTTGAGCAAAAAGAATCATACTTTAAGATCCGACTGTAAATGCTAAAAATGTGAAAAAAAAATTCGATTTGCAAAAATACTTTTAACTCGGGGGTGTCAACGAACTTTTTTTTCGGCATGGTCTAATGTACATATCGCACACGTAGTTCAAAAGCGTATTATGTAATTAAAAATTCTCTATTTCTGATATTATGCACCGAACATTTTACCGACCGTTTATTTACCAACCAGCAAAAGCGGCACTACAGTTTTATTGTTTTTCACTAAAAAAATCTAAAGCAAATTATTCCTTGCCCACATGATTAAAATCTGTTTAGAAATTTTTTTGGCGTTTTCCAACCAATGGAGATTTAGAGTTAATATGCTTAGGAAGAACGTGTGCGACATTTTTTTTATATGCCTCTTTCTCTTCGTCATCTTCTTAAGCTTCTACTTCATCTTCACATTCATCTTCATCTTCATATCAATATTCATATCGATCTTGATATTCATCTTCATCTCCTATCTTCAAATTTATCTTAATCTTCAACTTCATCTTCTCCTTAATCTCAATCTTAATCTGTGTCTGTGTTTTTATATTTCTCTTTGTCGTTGCCTTTGACTGCGTCTTAGCCTTTGTCTTTGTTACTATCTATGTCGTTATCCTGATGAAAACGAAGCTGAAGGCGAATTGGTTGCAATTGACAATATATACAACATCCTCATCTTCATCTTTGCTCGTACTATGTTAACTGCGTTTTTTTATTACTGCACTGTTTTCCGTCTCCAGCTTCGTTTGTAACTTTATGGGCCTGCCACTTTCGAAAACTATAGTCATGTGTACAATATTAAGCTCAACAAGCAAAAAGTAATAATAAAACCGGACGCACGGTCCCCTTTCCCCACATCCGAGTGCTCCATCAAAACGCTCATAACTAGGCCACTTAAAAGGTACGATCACACTCACCAATATAAGAACCAAGGTACCTAACAAGAGAACGCCAAGGGCTAGATTTCACAAAAGTGAAAGAAGTCGGGAGGCAGTGCCCACCCGTTAAAGCCTTATCATCCTTGGGAAGTTGTTGCTTGCAACAGAGTACACTCTTCGAGATCGGCGTACCTCTCGCCATCAGGCCCCCTCGGATAGGAAATCCAAAGCAGGTTTTCCTTAAACTTCTGAAGGATATTCGACGAGCATAGTCAACAATTTCGGACTGCGACATCAGACCTTAAGGGAACGGCATGAGGTTTAACAGTTGGAGATTGGTGGAGGCGAAACCAAAGGTATCGCACAACATTGCAGGTAGAGTTGCTGCTGAACAAGAAAAGCACAACCATTCTAATGAAGGATAATAACCAAATTAAATATATCTACGGACAGAACGCGAGCTTTACAAAACCGACACCATAACTTTAGCTAACTTATTTAGCAACATTCGTCTAAACTAAACCAGGCGGCGACCATGAGATGGACGTTATTCAACTCAAATCTATTATCAGACAGAATACTTCATGTGTGGGAAGTACTCGTATTGTCTGGCGGTATGTGACGCCTAGTAGAAGCAATGTGTGTCAACAAAAGGAAAGCTAAAATAAACTAACTAACTAAAATAAATTTAACAAATTTTGGACGACCATTTCTTAAGCGCTTAGCTTTCTGGCAGGGTGAATATTCTCGCCATTATTAAAAGGTAATAGCTTCCAAGATTTTGTTTATTCCGGCACGAAAGTGTAACAAAAAGCTCCCTTGTCAACTTTCATGGTTAAAAGCTCTTTTGACAGCAAAGACTTGAGCATGTTCTAAATGAAGATGTATATCATTTTGCTCGCGCTGCTCCAACAATGGCCGAGTGAGCAAAGCAGGAGTCAATAGTAGAGTTTTTTATGATACCATATGTACATATGTACTGTACTGTATTATTGAAAGTCTCCTGAAGAGAACCAGAGTTTTCCGATCGAAAAATATTGATTTTCAAGAATTCTATACCATTTCTACGAAAAAATTCATTTTTTCCACATAAAAATACATGGAAAACTTTGAGCGCTTTGAGCGACCCCTAAATATTTTTTGATTTCAAAATAAAAAATAGGGGTATATTTTTTCGATATAGAACAATCCCAGGGGGTGAGGGCATTACAATTCCGACTTCGCTGTTTTTGGACCACCCTAATGTATATACATATGTAGAGCTGACCATAGGAGATGGGCCGTTATTGTTCTGCAGGTTGGGTTGGGTAAGGATTTTTTTCTTTTTAACTGAGTAGATACATATGTACGTTTATTAAGCATGATTCGGTAGTTCTATTGTCATCGTACGTTGCTTGCTTTCAGCCTGTAAAACCTTTCTTAGTTAATTTCTCTTAATTATATATGCAAAAGTTTTGCATGCAAAGCCTTGCGTTTAGCCCTTTAAAAAGCTTTTGAGTTTATTTCATTATCTTTCGTTTTGTTTTGTTCTGTGTTGTTCTCTCCCCTCCCGATGACAGTGCAAATGTTTATGAGCACTTCACTTGAGATAATCCACTTCTTTAGTTGATAAGTGGAAACATCTCCTTTCATTTTTCCACGACACTCAACACTTTCCAACACTTCAAGGAAACCACACAAAAAAGTTGCGGAAAATCAATACTTAAATGCGGAGAAACTCCTTTCAAAAGAACTACAAAATACGAGTACATAAAGCACGTTAATAACAGACGTGAAAACGTGACGGCATCAGTCACGAAAACATAAATGTATGAATGTACATATGTATGTAACGAAGTCGGGCTGTAACACGTTTTGTACCGTTATGTTGACAGAGCGTACAACGACCGCGACCGAAACAATATAAAGCCATTACATACGATGACGTGCAACTAGGGTCGTAAACCTTTAATTACCGGACCGGCGATGTCCACAAACGATTACGAGTTTGTATGTATTTAAGTGCTTAATAATAACAATGGCTCAGCAAAGTCGATAATGCAGTTTATGGATGAAGGAAGCGGACGAAAATTGCAATGTCGGCGTTTACTGTCCCACACACACTAACATACCAAATTGTATTTACACTCCTTTACAGCTAGCCGTGAAGATTATATGTATGTAGATTATCCAATGAAATGTTGAAACATTAGAGCGCAAAATAGCTTTGCGATAATCACTTTCCTTTATAAAAATACCACCCTCATTCAAAACTTTGGCTACATTTTTATTATCAATTCACACACACACACATACATAGTCAGTTTGTTTTCACCGTTAATTCGCACTTTTTTCGTTCACTTGCTATTTAGGATTTCCTTGTTTTCCTTTTTCGGCAAGCGAACACGGAACACGCGACCGGCAAAAGTTCAAAACGCGCGCACAGACAAAATATTTACAACTCTTGCAACACCCCCAAACGGGAAGACGACAAAATGATAACTAAATTCGTGTGGTGGCTGCAATACTGTGTGAGCCAGTAGCCGGTTTGTTTTGGTTCAAGTCAGAAAGAGTTTTTAGAGTGACCATACTTTTTTTCGTAGTTTCGTAAAACCAAATTGAAATACAAAAATATCACGCTGGCAGACAGATTTGGCCACTATGAACATCCTTTATGGACGCAAAGGGGAGGCCAAGCCCCGTTACTTTTATTATGCTAGAATGTCTGCAGGTCCGATATTTCCAATTTCATTTTTTTCACGAATTTGTTGAAAACGTGAAATCTCAAGTGCTTCAATTGCTTTGAGTGGGGACCTGAACATCAACAGAAAATGGCGAATCGATTTCTCCACCAACAAGTACTGTAGAGAGAACCTGTGATGATATCGGTAAAAACACTTTACTGCAGATTTGTTTAACTTCAATATGTAGTTCGTCGGTAAGATTTCTTAGATCTCGAAGTTTCTATATCCTGGGGCAAAAAATAAATCTCTTAATCATCTTTTTTTCCTTTTTAGCGACTGCATGCCGAGTATTGTCGCAACTTATTAGTAGCTCCAAAAATTACGCTTTCCATTTTTCGGTGAAAAATCCGGGACCGTGGGAACT